GATCTTCTTTTCCTTTTTCCTCTCTATTATCTTCCTGTTGTTCTTTCCAGTGTTCATCTCTTTCTCTTTTCGTTATATATAAGCGTGTGTTGTATGTGAAGTAACTCAATACACATCATTGTCGAGAGCAACGGCTAGCTACTTCTCCAATCTTTAATAATGAATAATAGATGTTTTTATTTTATTTTAGTTTTAATATGGAAATTTTCGATCATTTTAACGATCATTTTCAACCAGATAACAAGACAATAGTACATGATGTTACAACAAAAAACACAAAAAACCAACAAGAAGAATGTCTTTATGAATACATCACTAACTTTAACATCATCAACTTTAACAACATTACCTGTTTAACCTAATATAAATTTTGTATACATTTTCAGTATTGTATAACATTAAACATATATATATTATACATATACCATATGTAATACTAAATTATAATCCATAACCTATTTAAACCCTAATTATAACACTCAAGTTTTATATTCTACTTAAATTTTATGTAATGAAAGACTTTAAACGAATTTTGTTTAATCTTGAGATTTGTATCAATATGTAAGAAATAAATCGATATGTTGTATATAATGATGTTAAAGTTAATGATGTATTCATAAAGACATTCTTCTTGTTTGTTTTTTGTGTTTTTGTTGTAACATCATGTATTATTGTCTTGTTATCTGGTTGAAAATGATCGTCAAAATGATCGAAAATTTCCATATTAAAACTAAAATAAAATAAAAACATCTATTATTCATTATTATATACTACATATTGATTTATTTCTTACATATTGATACAAATCTCAAGATTAAACAAAATTCGTTTAAAGTCTTTCTCCAATCTTGCATTACATCTCTTATTTATCGTTACATAAATGAATGTTGATTTAACTCTTGTTGCTTGGAATCAATTTAATCATTGAAGTTTTCATTGCCTACATTGGTGGCAGTCGCTCTCTTGACCCTTTGAGGTTCGCTTGTATTCGGTTGATCAAACAATTTTTTATGGATAGTAGATTTAAAATAAATAATTTTTTTCTTTAAATGAAATCCTATGTATATTTTACTGTTCGTTTATTTTTAAAAAGAAATTTTTGTTTAAATTATTTTCCAATTGGAATCTTTATAATTTATTTTAAAACAAATTATTTTTCACTTGTGATAAATCCGAGAATATATTTAACTGTAAGTATTTTTTGTTTAAATAAATTATTTCTTTCTTCAGATCAAATCGAAAGCTTTAGTAAAATGTCAGTATTTATTTATCTCTAAATAATTGTTTTTTTTATTAATCTTAGAGAAAATAATTTTATTTAGGTAAAATCAGACGATGTTTTTACATGTAGATATCTATTTAAAAAAAAATTCCGAATTAAAATCTTTTCAATTTATTCAAAAAACAAATTTCTTTTCAATCTGAATCAGTGAAATATTTGTTTGAAATGTCACTATCTATTTTTCTTCTACGAATCATTTTTTGGTTAAATGACATCGAACGACATAATTAAATATAACCATTTTTATTTTAAGAATAGTTTTTTTTTCTAATATTTTTCAAATTAGAAATTTTTACTATGTTTTAAAATAACTTTTTTGTATTTAGGACATAAGCGAACAATGATTTCATATTTATCAATTTAAAAGTTTATTTAAAATTATTTCCGAACAAATGATGTTTTTTTAAAAAAAAACACAAAACGTGACCCCTTCGAAAATTTTTCAGATAGGAAAATATTTCGAAGACCATTTGTGTGAGAGAGCAGAGAGAAATGTGAAGTCTTTCCTTCTTCAATGAATTAAGCATATAAGAGTTCGATAGTATGCCACATCCTATTGATCGATATATGATGATTTACGTTGTGAAATCAATGCAAACACGAGCCGTTAATGGATAGAATAGCCCACTGTATTCGATTCAACAGATGATCCCTTTACAACACGGAAACAAACTGGTCCGTATTTCTGTGAACGCGTAATATGGTTATTTATGAACCGAAAACGTAACATACTGATACCGTATGCTGCCATAAAGATTTCCTTTTTACAGCATTCACAGTCAGTTTCCTAATCGTAAAGGACACCGCTTTGATCGACCTGGCTATTGTTGATATCTCTGACATTTGACATAGAGCAGAAGCACTTACGGTCATGTAAGTCGCTCAAGAATATAAGCTGTACAGCCGTAATACGGATAATTATAACATGATCTATAGTTTAATGTATAAAAATATTTAACGAAAATGACAATCATTGTATAGAAATAAAATATTGTTGTTTTTGTTTCGTAAATGAATATAAAAAGTTGACACTAGTGAACACTAAAATGTTGTACTCATCTCCGTCATTTCATTCTTTAATCTTTTCTTTTTAGATATTCTACCACTTTCCTTTAATATCTTGTCCTTGTTGTTCTTTATTCGTTAGCTTGATTTAAATGTTACTTGTTACACTTATTTTGTTCATCTAGCAACAATGTTAACAGATGAAATAGATTTAATTGTGTATGCATTTAACATTCTCACCATGATTTGAATGATGTTAGAGCATTGAAATTGTTAGTGTTATATGAGAACCCCATACATTTGGTTAAATCATAAACATATTCAGAATTGCTATTGACTGATTCAACATGTGTGACAGCGTCAAAAAGAAACTTGGAGGGTATAGACGTGGGTGTGAGTGTGGGTTGTGATTGTGGCCATTGTATGTAAGATGCTGTATTCTGCCTGCACATTCAAACCCACACCCACACTCAAAACGAAGAACGAATAAAAAGTAATGCAACAACGGCATTACTCATACTTTTAATTTTATTCTTGTTCAATTCTGTGTATTTGTCAATGTCTTTCACATCACTGACTTACCTGCACCGTTCTGACTACTTCACTTTTGCCTTCCTACCATGTGATTAAAAATTGAATTTTGTTATGATGCATATAACAGTCTAAGAGCACTTTTTAAAGGTTGTCATGGATGTGAGTGTGTTTGCGAGTGTTCATACATTTGAGTTCGCCCTCATACCCGATAGAATATCTGAAATTATATCTCTTAGCGTTTTCTGATGATTTTGCCTATTATTTTCTCTTCACACATTGATTAAAATGTTTTGTACTCCGCATGATATGCAAAACTGAGTGGATCTAAATTGCTTACAAAATCGTTTTCACCGGTACATGATAACTAATTGATTTAGCAAGTAACGGTGATAGCATAGCCCATTAAACTAAAGTATCCTACTAAAAGATCTAATAGAGTGTGGATGTGGTTCTTCTCATCATCAACACTCACACCTGATTGAAGAGGATTTGATAAATAAATCTTTCTTTCTGCATTTGCCCATCGATAATATACTCGCATTCAAAATGTTGGATGTTTGTAAATAAAAAAGATTTCTGCATCTTTAATCAAAACAATTATAGGTCGAACGAATAATTGTTTCTTTTTCGCATTTTTAGAGATTCGATAGTCTTTGTATTATTGGAAAGAAAGTATCGACATCAGTGACTTTTGCACAAGACATTTTTCCATTCCAAAGTTAATTAATGAAAATTACATTCCACAATAAGATATTCGAATCTTAAATCGGCTCTTTAAGTATTGTAGTAGTAATTGTTTCAATTGATGATATTAATCTCTTCAGGATAAGTTTGTGTATTAGATTGAAACCTCGCATCTAAACTCATGTGTTTTTGATCATCTTGAACTGTGCATTTGCGGTTGTCTTGAATGATATTTTTGTCGATTTTGATTCAGTTGCTTTGTTATCATCCGATAGAGTCTCTCTTGTGGAGTACGAGCGACCGGCCTACTATAATTGGTGATTTGATTTGTTACTTGTTTTATACCAAATATGAAAGTTGCATAGCAAGAGATTCTGGTTACCATAGAAACTGTTTATACGAATTTGCTTTCATATTTATATAGCTTTTGCAGCTAATATTTATCTATGTATTCAGTAGACGAGCAAGATTCAAACTATTTTTTAGATAATGTTGAACAGTGAACTGAAATGTAGATGCTCATATATAAAGAAAAAGGAAAATTCCCGTTTTTTTTTTTGATTGACACTTAATGAAGCAACTTGTGCAAGTATAGATCGATTTAGTGAAATTGCATAATTGTTCATACGATGAATTTTAGGGATGCAACATATTATGTGTTTCAACCTAAAGAATGAGGATTTTTTATATTAAAACTCCCTAATTACACTAAATATTTGTCACGTGTAAGCTTAAAAAAATTTTCGTTACTCTTGTTCGAACAGTTATCTTGAAATTCATAAAAAGAATTAATCATTTCCTCCCGACACAAGTTAAATAATAGGATTACCGTTTTTTTACTTCTTAATGAGAAACTAAAAGAATTTTTTTCGCTTTACTAACAAAAAAAACAAATTATTTGATCACAATACTAGTAGATTATAAAGAAAAAAAAAGAACGTATTTGATGTAGATATGATATTTAATAAATCAATATAAGGCACATAGAAGCTAATTTTTCATATATATTATAAACTGATAAACGATCAATCCAATTTTCGAACAATTTTAAAACATTGAAGCCTAATTTTTTCGCTTAATTTTCATTTAGAAATAATTCGTTTATACTTCACTTCATCGCATAAATTTTATTTTCGTTCAACAATTTTATATTACTCTAATAGACATATTGAACAATTCTTAGCTATGATTATTTTTGGATTTTGTGACTGCGATACTGTTAGTCATAACAGTTATGGTAGGTATCTACCGATATGTTTTTTTCACTACCTACCGACAAGGCACTTTTGTTTATTCTGCCTTCAAAGAATATGATTCATGCTGAAAAAAATGTATTACTCGGGCTGAAAAGAAATTTCTCGTCTTTACACTAAATTTTTCTTTCTTGACACTTAACAACACATACACCAGTATTTTTTTCAAGTTGGAAAAAACCAACGTTTATCGTTTATAGGTTATTACAACGCTGAAAAAAATGCCATATTAACAATAATAAATGCCAGATAGCTATATTCTAAGCGGTTCAACTGCCGAAGGACAAGGTTATGCCCGTCGATGGGCATCGAATCTTGATAAATTACAAGATTTAGACTTAATAAAATGTATGGGTGAAATTGAAAGTGAAAACGAATTGATTTCGATTCCACATATGCCAGTTTTCGTGCTTGTTAAATGGAATAACAAGAAATTAGTACATTTACCTTTTTCATATTATGGAGTTGAGCTCGACGATGATGATTTCTCTCCTCCTATACCTTTAGTGAATGGATTTCAAATGAAGCGACGTTTGGCAGAACAACTTAAACAATCGCCTCACTTTCCAGGTAAAAAATCAGTAGCAACCGATAAGGCAGCTGTTGAAACACAAGCAACACATATTGATCCAGCTGATTTGGATTCAGGTGGTAGAATATTCGAAAAAAATTTAAAATTTATTGAAGAACAACGACGTAAACCGAAAGATAAGAAATTAATGGATAAATTATTCGAAAATTTTGTTTACTATTGTCGCCAAGCAGCAGTCAAAGAACAGCAGCGAACTGATTATTCTTCAATGAAGGTACTTCCGGCTCCATTTTCAGAAAACTTCTCATCTTTTACGCTTCCTTTTAATCTGAACATAGCAGAATATCAACTAAGTTCTTTTCTTCTCTTATCACCAATATTCGATTGTCGTTTGCCAACAAATTATTATAATAAATGTCGATTTTTATTAACATTTTATGAAAAATATAAAGTTTTAGGTTCCAAGATTAATACATCTTTTATACCATTTGTTTTTTCATTTATGCAAAAAAGTACGACAGTCGATATGGATTACGTGCCCGCATTAAAATTAAACTTTTGGCCAACAAATATGCAACCATTTCTTAAACGTTTGAAAAATCATCGTGCTTTACTATATGAGAAAATAAAAAATACCCACATGCATCTTGTACCAAAATGGTCACGTTTAACACCACTGTCTAATCAAGTATTTGAATTTCGTTATTCATTATCTGAAATTGAAGTTATTCTAGCTAAAAATCGTAATATCGGGGAAAAATGTTTAAATGGAATTGCAAGATCGATCTATTATAAATATTTATATAGATCGACTGAATTAACATCTTACACTGTAAAAACAACTGTTTTATGGATGTGTGAAACAATTGACATCGATGAAAAAGTATCCAATAATGAACTGGCATATAAATGGATTGATTTTATGTGCAAACATTTGAAAATAGGCTATTGTCCGCATTATTTTGTTGAAAATTTAAATATATGGCAACATCACGAACGCAAAGATTTGGATAAAGCTCTTTCTATCTTAAGATCGAAAATTGATTTAAATGATCGAACGGTTCCAACTAACGATTATTCTCGACATTGCGATGTATCATTATTAAATATTCTGGATGAAGATCAAAGTGATCCCGAAGAATCGATCAAAGAAAACCTTCTCAGTACATTTGACGAAGATTATAAAGAATTTCAGCGACAATGGTATGGCAGACCTATAATAGCAGCAGAATGTACGTAAGAGTTTTGATAATACATCATTTAGAAGCATTCTATTCACATAAGGTTTACAATACTAAACAAGGGCTACATGTTCGTAAACAGAAAATAAAATAACATTTTTTAAAGGTGATTAATATATTGCAAGAGGTTAAGATCTACAGAGAATCTCTATTTCGAATTCGCATAGAGAATATGGATCTGCAAATCGTTTGTTTCGGTCGTGACCTCGGTAAAAAATTTTACTGGCACCGATTTATCTCCGATGAACGGTACTACTCACCACTAATCCAAGTTTTTCGACTTTTTGCGAGATTCTTTGACAAACAAAAGCTTTCATCAATGACTTGGATTTGCTACCAATACGAATATCTCTTCAATATGGATAGATCGGAGTTGAATTTTGTTTTTGTTTTTGTTTTTATTTGCAAGAAACTGACGACTTTATTAAGTCCTGACAGTACATACGTGAAAGTTATAAGCTAGAAAAATGAGAACGAAGAAGGTGAAAAAAACAGGTCGAGATCCTATATATATACGTATGTTATGAAAGGATTTTCATAAAAAGAAAGAAATAATGAAACAACAAACACGTGTAGAAAGTTTAAACGAGTACGCCACAAACAAAAAAAAAAGGAAAAGAGCTTTTTACTTTTATTTTTTTTATAGCGAGTAAAAGTACATAAAAGTATAGGAATTGTCAAAAAGTCTCAGGAAAGTCATTTAGGGCCATTATATCTTCTATATTATAATTTAAAATCGATTCGTTTGAGGATATACTACCGCACCAGGAGGTGCAAGACTCTAACACTGAGGTGTACTCTACATACCGTTTTGATCTGGTAACATCCTTAATCTTATTATCACCTTGCAGCCAAGCTTTTCTAAACACATTAAAGCTGGCCTGCTCGAACATTAATTCTCCGTCTATCGTATCTGATAACGCTAATAAATATTTATTCCAATATCTTAAACATCTATCTTCTAACGATATTTCATTCAATGCGTAAGAAAAAAAGTG